TTCCGTATTCAACCTTTTTGGTTGTTTGTTTGGTTTTGTAAATGATGTGGGAGCCTAGTAAAAAATGTTTTTAAGGAAATGACGTCAAATGCAAAAAGAAGCTTTAATAGTCAATGTAACAGTCGTATATAATAATTGAGTTGAAACATTGTGAAATCACCAAGAAGCTAAAATTATTGGTATTGGTGGGTGAAACGTGAAGAATGGGTTAGTTATTCTCGGAAATAGCATGGAAACAGGGGAATAATATCATCCACTTTTTTTTTTTATGAGAAATGAAATTAGAATGTTAAAAGTCTTAACCTTTTGTCTCAGACTTGTATACATTGAGATCAAACCTTGTAATACGCAATTTTCTGGAGATTGACTCTAACCTTTTTTTTTATAAAGTCAATAACTTGCAGGAAAAAAACGAAATCTATCTGCAAAAAGTTTTCTTTCCGGAAGTTACCCTCTATAATAATATTACAAAAGTAGACCAAGAAGACTGAAGACTTAAGAAGTCAAGCACGTGGAGTATAGAAAAACGAACACAGACACAATTGTCTTTAATTCCTTTTATATATCTCTTGCGACAATGTAATATAACCGTTACAGTAAAACCTCTTTCTTTAATCAACAACACTTATAAAACTTTCTCCAAAAAATCTCTGTTTCTTCTCCTTCTTCTCTCTCACCATCATGGCTCTCTCTATCTTCTTCTCTCTCCTCCTAATCTTCCTCTCTCACTTCCCTTCCTCACGTAAGTATCATCATCATCTTCTTCTTCAACACGACGTCGTTTTTGGTTCTCTTTCTATCCTTAATTTTTTTCCTCTGTTTTTTGTCGACAGATGCAGAGTCGTTCATCGGAGTTAACTACGGTCAAGTCGCCGACAATCTTCCTCCGCCTTCAGAAACCGCAAAGCTTCTCCAGTCAACTTCGATTCAGAAAGTTAGACTCTACGGTGCCGATCCCGGAATCATCAAAGCTTTAGCCGGAACCGGCGTCGGAATCGTAATCGGCGCTGCTAACGGCGACTTACCTTCTCTCGCTTCCGATCCAAACGCCGCAACTCAATGGATCAACTCAAATGTTTTACCTTTTTACCCCGCCTCCAAAATCATCCTCATCACCGTCGGCAACGAGGTCCGTCCGATCATCATCAAATTCGGTTCAAGTTTCCTCTGTTTCCGATGAATTGTCAACTAAACCGAAAATCTCATCCGGTTATTTCAGGTTTTGATGTCGAACGATCCAAATCTGGTGAACCAGCTACTTCCGGCGATGCAAAATGTCCAAAAAGCCCTTGAAGCGGTGTCTCTCGGCGGGAAAATCAAGGTGTCGACGGTGCACTCGATGACGGTGATGGGTAACTCAGAACCGCCATCTTCCGGTTCGTTCGCGGCCGGTTATCAAGCCGGTTTAAAGGGGATTTTGCAGTTTCTAAGCGATACGGGTTCGCCTTTCGCGATTAACCCGTACCCGTTTTTCGCGTACCGGGGTGATCCGAGACCCGAAACGCTTGCGTTCTGCCTCTTCCAGCCTAACGCGGGTCGGGTCGACCAAAACACCGGAATCAAGTACATGAACATGTTCGATGCTCAGGTAAATTTAATTACAGTCTGGTCCACACTAATCAATTCAGTTTTGTGTTTGGTAACTTATTAAAGTTTTTAGCTAGTCTATGGTTTTGAATTTGGTGGACTATTTTTTTTATACATGATTTAATTATACATGATTTAGTTTAACGTCAAAGCATAGTTTATATGGGTCGGTTAGTTTTCTTGTAATTTATTGTTGTCACACAAAAATCGTACTATTAATAATTGGCAGTATTCACGTGGACGAATCTATAGTTTGAACTTTCGATTTATATATGATATGATATGATTTTCTTTGCACAAGATTGTAGCAAGGAACTTGTTCTGTTTCTCTACTTTACCACTTAGAAAGGAATCTATATTCTTATTATATAGTACAAAAGACAGTTGTTATTTCCTTTCGATGGATTCGTGTCCAAACGTGCCGTATGTGTCTAATTCTACACTTTCTTTTAGTTTCTTCAACACATACGTACGATCTTTTTATATAAAAATCAAAACCCGCTTATTATCTCAGGGGAATAAGTATGCGTGACGATGACTTGTAATCAGTCGTTTTTTTTTCTGACAGGCTGGATCCGCACTAAAGTTATTACTTGTTTTAGATGTTTCCTGAAACATTTGTCTGCATTTGTCATCATTAATTCCACGTCAGCAGTAATGTCGACCAAAAATCAATAGATAAAATATATCTAGAAGAGAAAAAACAGTGACTTTCCAGGTCTTCAAAGTAGTAGAAACAAGTCTTTGTTTATGATCGTTACTTGCAACACACGTTACAGTCTCTTGAGTTTTTTCATTGTTGACAGGTTGATGCGGTTCACTCGGCTTTGAAATCGATGGGATTCGAGAAGTTGGAGATCGTGGTGGCGGAAACAGGTTGGGCTTCACGAGGGGACGCTAACGAGGTTGGACCGAGTGTGGATAATGCTAAAGCTTACAATGGAAACCTAATAGCTCATCTTAGGTCAATGGCTGGCACACCTCTCATGCCGGCAAAGCCCGTTGACACTTACATTTTTGCGCTCTACGACGAGAATCTGAAGCCTGGACCATCTTCGGAACGGGCGTTCGGGCTTTTTAAAACCGATCTTTCCATGGCTTATGATGCAGGCCTTGCCAAA